TACACGAAAAGATCTTGATACCAAATGCGTATCTATTACAAAATATGAAGATTTAAGATGTAAAAAACCAGATATAGTGGATAAATTGTCGAATTTTGTAAGATCTGAAAAGGCTTTTGTTATTATTGTCAGTTTTTTTCTGATATATATATATATATATTAACAAAAAATATACTATGTTTTACATATTGAGTAGTGCGCTCACAGTAACACGGGACTGGAACGTAAAGATCAACGTGAAAAAAATAACAGGTAATAGTAAATGAGTCGGATCGAAAGTACCTATACCTAAACACAAGAGTTTTAAGTGACGAAGGATCTTGTAATTAAGGGCTCGAGGTGTAGCAAAGCAACAACATTGATATATATATCTCAAGAGATAACCAATTCTGTTATAGATAAATTTAAATCAAATTTAAGCCAACAAAATCAAGAAAAGTTGTTGTATATATAATGTGTATATATATCAATTGGGATCAACCATACATCTTGTTAATATTTAATTTAGCGCCAACTATAATAAGATAATATTTTTTTTGTCGTATACTAATATTAATGTAGGGTTAACAAAAAGATTACGAAATCTTCAAGGAGACTTAATAATACACCTTCTAATTTATCTTCCAAATGTATTGCTAACAAGAATGTATTCAAACAATTATATCTTGAATATTTTTGTAAACAACGCTCCCTATTTAATTCGTTATCAGAGTTAAACAGAGATTTTACACTTCATCCACAATAGATGATAGTCCAATCATTGTTCATACAAAACAAAGTTTATTAGGTTTTTTGTTGCTTTTTAAAATTAAGTGTGACGCTAGCTAACCTAAGATGATTTTTTTCGTATTTTTTGTATAGTACAGACTGCTCGCTATGGCATTCTTACTACATCTATTTGTTTACCTGTCAAGTTCAGTTTCACACCCATCATTTTAGTGGGTAGATTGTAAGTTTTTTAAAATAAAGATTTAGATTTTAAGTTTGTTTAATAATTTTACTTTTCTTTGCTTTAAGAAAATGTGCATTTGTAAACATATCCTTTTGTGACTACCGTTTTATTTCGGTTTAGTGAAATGAAGAGAAATGCATAGCTTTATCTAAATATTTTAGCATAAAATCGACGAAAATGAAGTGCTTGTAAATAGTTATTTAAGAGACACATCTGACTCTTTTGAGGGTATAGTGTCTTGTGCAACCGTGTTATTCTATAAGCGTGGACATGATCGAATATCCGGGTTTCTGGAGATATTTGTGACCAGATCCATTTTATCAGAATAATAATTATTTGCTTTGATTCGATCCATTGTCATTTGGATAGTCCGTGTGTCAGATATTTGAAAAATATTAGATTTTAAATCGGAAATCCAATCTGATTTGTACAAATAAAATAAGAATAAATAAATAAATAAAACATAAATCTAAATTAATATTAAATCATAATCTTTTATTTTCAACATAAAAAGTTATTTAATTTTTAATTTTTTAATAAATAATATAATAACTTTAACAAATAAAAATATTGTAAGCTTCTATAAAAATTAATATTTATATAAGATAGATATAATTCAATAAATATATTTATATAACAAATCAAATTAGATATATATATTCCTAAATATATTATTATTTGTGATTAACTTTGCTTATTATGGATATTGCATATTAATATTTGTTTTATTTCATAGAGCTACGAATATCTTGAGTTTTGATTTCAAATCAAAACGAATAACGAATCAAATAGAAATTTACGATATTTTCTCAAGTCCTAAACTATTATGTACATATATAGTCACTAAGAGCATCTCCAAAAGACACTCTATAACTTCAAATATGAAGTTTTTGCCTCTCCAAAAATGAACTCTAAAACTTCAAATTTGAAGTTTTGAGTAATGAAACTTCAAATATAGAGTGTCACTATTCAAAACTTCAAATTTGAAGTTTCATATTTTATTTACATTTTGGTCCTTACAATTACACATCAAATTTATAATAATCTTAAATATTTATTATTTATCATTTTAATCCTTAAATTATTATTTCATAAATAATTCAAAATTATTTTTATAAATTTAAATTTTCTATTTTTAAAAAAAGCATCAAGGTAATCTTTAAAATATTTTAAAACTAGAAGTAGACAACAACAATATTACATGATACAATGTGATATTTTGTTTGTACTTTAATATTTAACTATATATTTCTATTTATAGTTTTCTATTTTAGTGTAACATTTTATCAAATGATATTTCTATAATATTTTTATACATGATAGTTATTTATATAATTTTATGAATTTGAATTAGTTATGAAAAATATAAGGATCCTTGTATAAAATACAAATAGTTTTAAAGTTAGGTTTGAAGTCTTGCTTTTGGAATATAACACCTTCAAACTTCAAATATAGAGTTTTGCAAACTTTATAATAGAAAGCTTTTTTGGAGATGCTCTGAGTTACCAAAACTCATTATATGGGGCACATAAATTTTTATTGGAAGCGTTGAAATATTCAACCTTTCAAAAAGAAGAAAAGCACGTGCGTTAATGTAATAATCTATGTGAGAAATGACAGGCAGGAGACAACTAATTTTCGGTCCCTCTATTACCTCGCCCCATGATGGAAGCATCCTGAAACCAAGATTCAAATATAAATTATTATGTTATTAGACTATTGAATTCATTGCCGAAAAAGTTCAAGTGTATATATGTACAAATGTGCACATGATTAGGGTATAAGAACATATTTTTATTGTTTAAGATCCAAAATCTCTATTGTGAAATAGTTTGTTGGATCCGTATCTCCGGTGTAACGTGAGAAGAAAAAATGAGTGCAATTTGTAATTATCATCTAATATTTACAGAAAGTAACATGTACACCTACTGCTGCATAATCAATTTATATTCCTCTATTATCCAATCATTGTTGGTTTAGTGATTAGGAAAAACTATTATCTAATGCTCAGTTGTATTATTTTGTTAAAGGATTTTCACTTATATTTTATCTTTGGATATTATATTTCTTTCTCCTCATTTTCTCAAAAGCTCATATGGATTCACTCCGAGAACGGGCAATGTATCGATTGACTATCTTGCAAAAAGATCTTTACTTATCAGATTTCACGAAAAATGAACCAAAAAAAGAATCTTTAAATAAGAATAAGTTTTGCTGGATTCGGAAATCTATTTGTTCTTTTAATATGGTTAATAATGGGAGTACGTTTTGGGTGTCATACACGAAATCGGCAACGAAAAAGAACAAACAAAAGTAGACAAAAGGGTCTATTAGAATAACAAAGAAACTCTTATGACAAGCATCTGCCATCTGTTACGTTATAAGAGAATATAGTTAGTCTATTATTATAATTGTATCCATATCTTTTTTTTTGTATCCATACCTTTGCTTGTCACAATGTGTTGGTTGATGGATTTGGGATGAAGGTGGCTTATTATTCCTCGACATGCTTTGGATTTGAGAGTACTATTTCATCTGAAATTCTCAGCTCTCTTGACTAACAAAGACATAATCATAAACCAATAGAAAGTCTTCAAGAACTGAGTTTCAAACCCCAAGTACAAGAAAATAAGACACAGTTGGACCGTGTCTTTAATAACTCAGATTCTTTATTATTTAAACCGTATCGAAAGAGGAGCAAGTGACGTATTTACTTGTAACTTGTGAGCAAATTTAGTTCTTATGGTTTTGGTTCTTATTCAGTTCAAAAAAAAAAAAATTTAGTTCTTATGGTTTTGGATTTCTTAAGGCTTAGTTGCTAGGTCTCAGAATTTAGTTTTTACAGTTTACATTTTGATTAAGATTAATTTAAGTTTGGAAAGTATATATTATTTTATTGATGTTTGGTATATGTTATTTTCTTAAGAACCTAGCTAGTTTATTCAACGCAAACCCAGCTTCTTCCCAACTAAAGTGTTGTTCTTATCCTCTTTTGATGCGTCGGCCTTTCCACTTCAGCTAAGCTCTGACTTCGCTATAAACTCTACATTTGCTCTATCTCATCGTCATCAGTACACACATATATTTATTATTATTATCAACATGATGCATTGATGCATTATGCGAGTTTGAACTAACGTGGTGACACATCAACACAAAGCACAAACTACACAAACAATAACCACGCTTCACATCAACTAAAACACTGCAAATAAGATTAAAAAAAAAAAAAAATAGCCTGTTGATTGAACAAAAAAGAACATTGTCTTTTCCTCGGATAACTTCAAAACCTCAGCGGGCATAAACAGAATAGCCTGTTAATTGAAAATAACATTGTCTTCCCTTTTTGGATTAAAAAAAAATAACACTTCAACGTATTGTTATACATTGCTAGTAATAATCAACCAAAGCACTGGTCAAAAAGTTTCTGGTTTCACAACCAAGTTTAATACGTTTTGAAATTCTAGAGATTATGTAATTCTCTTGAGCATATTTCTATGCTAGTATCATATATATAGATGTGTGTATTTGTTTCTCCTCCTGGGTAGATCAGTTGCTGACACTCTAGTGGAAACTGGAAAAAGTATGCAGAATGCCTCTAAGGCCATATACCACAAGTTGTTCTTAATAATAAATCGATTAAGTAGTCAGTTGAAACTCCTTCAGAACCTTTGTGTCTTCTACTCTATATGAAGTTGGAAAGGAGAGAGTTGGTGTACATGTTAAGCATGGGCTATACGAGGTACCATCGCTCTTTGCAGTGTTACAGAATTTTCATGTACAATGTAACATGTTGAACCTTAGTCCTTATGTCCAATTTATGTTTCTGACCAAGGAACCAGAATACTGCTGGTTAACTTGGTGAGGCCATAAACTGTTACCGAACAATTGGAGGTTCCATATCGTAACGAGGTTAGATTTC